AATGTTTTTGTAAATTAATTATCACTTTATAGCACAAAGATTATTTCGTAAGATTATTTTAGTTTATATTTTATTCACAAAATGTTTTCATAAATTGATTGAGGTGCAAATGTATATCAGAGCTACTCAAACGCATACATAAATAGATACACACACATCTATCTATAATGTGATATATACATATCTCTCTGTCTCTCTATACACACACACACACATACAGATATATATATATATATATTAGAGAGAGAGATAATGTTATATATACATATGTGTGTGTGTTTAACTTTAGCCTAGGTTTCTAAAGCCAACCAACGTAAGCAGCATTATTCTTCCATGAGCGCGTGGGCTTACCTTGAATATTTCTCCCGTCAGTATTCGAGGTTTCAGGTCTCCTCGTGAGAATCACCACCACGCTTTATGATGTTCAAAGTCTTCACCTAACACTTTCACCCACTGTTCCACTCGCAGTGAACCCACTAAAAATGGAAAAATGTAGTTCCACACGCCCGGGATTCTCCAATCAAAGAAAGCGAAAATGTTAACCGGGATAAGGAAAAGTTCATCCTGGACCGTTGCTGCTATTTTTTTTCCGGTAATTGCGGCAGCAGCAGTTCGAAACACGTGAAACCGTGAAAACGTTTTTTTGTTTTTTGTTTTTTAAAGGAAAGTGAGCGATTAAAAAAAGTGTCCCAGTAAAACGATAATTGAAGCCGACCACCGCGAAGCCTGTCCACAGATAACAAGGTGCCCGCGCCGGCAGCTGTCGAGTTTACTATAATAAGGGAACTTTTCCTTTAGACTTTCAAAATAAAACCTAAGCAATCTAAGCAAAAATAAATAAATAATTAAATAATGTAAAAACTCCTCTTGTAATCTCGGACAGATTCTATGTGTTTGTTAAAAGTACATGCATCTTTAAAAAAAAAAAAAAAACAAGAACTAAATTTAGCCAGAGAGTAATTTAGTTACCTATATTTTTTAGGAAACTGAACGTGACTGAGTTTCAATTTCACACTTTGGTCATTGGTGCTTTTATTTTGAAGCCACGCAATTTTGTCCGTATCTCTCTCTCCCTCTCTCTCTCTTTAAAATTCCGAGTTTCACTTGACTGCTGTCACAGCAGCAAGGTGTTCAACGGAAAGCCAGACAGAGTGACTCTCCCTGGATCTTGGGGGGAGGTGGGGGGGAGCAGAAGAGAGCGAGAGAGAAAGAGAGGGCTGGCGAGAATCCAATTACTCATTCTACTTCTAAGAACATTCTCAAGGAGACAAACCTCAGCACTGCATAGCTTTATTGAATAACTACCCACTTAATGTCATTGTTATTGGCATATAGACATTTATTACATTATGCTTTGTTATCACATCTTCAAAACCTCCTAAAATGTATAATTTTATTCATATCGATTTATTTTGTTCACTGTGGGAAGGTTTGTTCTGAGTTGGGCATTGCTTAAAAGCACAAATCAGTTATTCTATGCGTGCTTAAATGCCACTTAAGTAGGCTACTTCTTAAGTGCCTGAACACTTGAAAAGGCAGGCCTGTCTCCACCTTATCAATAGATCAACATTCCATAAAAGTGACTTATTTTTTGTGATACTGATATCAGGAAGGCAGTTATGACTGTACAACGTCAATGCCACAAGCAGCTGGCATGCTTTTAGACTTCAAATATCACCACAAACCACAGCTTCACCTTGGAGATGCTTTGAACAGAG